TAAGGGTCTCTAGTTCTGACTTGGGTAAGCTTATGTCTTCTACCGTTCAACTAGGGACATTACTTAAGGGAAGACACCAACGAAGGATGCTTTCCTTAGCAACCAGGTCCTACTTAGCCTAGAGACGGGAGGTGGACTACAAAGGATTCAACGAGGCTACAAGAGTGTTGACATTTCTTAGCGCAATCACTAGGTAAGGTGGTTTTACGTCCGTAACCAGCAATAGCACCAGAAATGTTTGTTGGCGATTCTTAACGAGGGTACCAAGTGAGAAGGTTTCGAGTCCATCACTGGCAACGATGCCAGAAATACCTGACCGGTATTCCCTCCCACCGTTACTAAGGCTGAGTTAACCTTAATAACACCGTTAAGAAACGTCCGACTGGTATCCTAAATATCCTTACTCAGGAACGTAATTTCCTAGCAAATTGGCGTTAGGCAAGGGTTTTACAATTGAAGGCAATGACACTTAGAGATGCCAGGTTGGCATTCCTAACCGTCACTACTCAGCAGTTGTAGTCCCTCAGCCCTGACACCGATTGGCATGTTGGGAGTTACAATCACTGGATAATGGTACTTAGGAAAGCCAACGTGATAGTCCTACTAATACAGACAAAATCCGCAAGCGCACGAAACTATCATTGCAGCATTTCAACCCAGAAATATTCAGGGTGTCGTATTTATATTTTACCAAAGAGGGCATATTAAACCAAGTTTCTATTTGTGACATGAATATGATTCCATACTTGCATAATAGACTATAGATCATGGCAGGGGTAAAAATGGTATAACAGGGATAATGGACACACATCTGAGCTACCTCCAAGGATAAAAAGAGAAACTAAGTAATAAAAGAATAATCCTAAGTAGAGTCGGCAGTCTAATATAGCCATGCATCGAACAGTTGATAATCATACAACCTATATGACTAGAGTTAGAACTATGTTCAGGATGATGGGGAGATCCCTAGGCCTGGTCTACCAAGCCATAGAGACATTTACGAACTCCTGCACGAATACCCGAACATGGAGGATTACAAGGGATGGACAGGGCTGTCACCACCTCCCGCCTACCCCTCAACCGTGGAGCACCGTCATATTCACAGGTTTCCGTGCACCCGAGCACCACGCCTGTGTACAAAGAAACTACCCATGTCCCCACAAAGACTCTAATCCTACAGACTGATGAGCTAGAACATGGACAAACCCGAAAGAACAACGAACCTTCATCCCAATCCTAGTTCTACTTCTACTCATAGAAATTATATGAACAATGATGAACATGTCAAGATCATAATATATAGACTATAGACTAGTTCATATATCATGGTTATAACATGATCATAATTTTACTCTAGTTCATATGCATAATTATAAAATAGATATGAGAGCATGAACTTGGAAGAACTCTTTATAAGAGATTGCATACCGAGGAGTACTTCTTCCAAGGAGACAAGCTCTCCTTGATAGCTTTGTCTTGCTCTAGTACTAGCCTAAAACTATGAAAAATACCAAGAGTAGGTAGAGAGGTGGAGCTTCAAATGATGTGTTGTCTTGAAAATGAGCTCTAGGCCTTCTTTTATAGCACCTGGAGGTCGGCTCTGCGTAAATAAATTAGGAAACCTATCAAAACCACCTTAGCATGCCACCATGCAAATGTCGGTGGAAGGGGCTTTCGGGAGGTGGACCCTTCGAGGGATGGAAGCACCTTTGGTGCTCAAGAGGTGACCCCACCTTTGACCCCTAGGAGTGGGTGGTGACATTTCTTAGCACTACTACCTAGGTTGTCATCCCTAGCATAGCCCGTAAATACATGGTTGATTATCCTTATTGCCACTTGTAAACTTTAGAGAAAATATATAATAGGGTATCCGCAAGCGCACAGATAATTTACCTAGGAGTATATCAGGTATCGTTATTTATATTTTACCATAGGGAGAAGATTATGGAATTGGGTTGACATGGAGATACTGACAAAAGTGTATACTTATGATAATAATCACTCTTATGCTATAACAGGAGTAAGTCAAAGGGTAAATAAATGATAAGTAAAAGATAATAGTGGTATTCCAGAGATAGAACTGAGACTCACTAGTGTGGTATAGCTAAGCAGGAGATTCATTAAGAGTAAAAGAATCCTAAGTTATTACTAATCTATTAAGTCTTTCGTACACTCTAATATATACACTCTCATCAATAGTATAACTAACTACGGATCTATGCATAAGGAACATTACTAAGGAAGATCAAGAACAGAGCTTGTCTATCCTTGCAATATCGTTATACATTCTCTACAAACGGGGAGTGAACTACAAATGACTCAACGGGAGTGTCACATCTGCGATCTACCACATGGCTCGGAGTGTAGAGGGCATCCGCAGGTAAATAATATCTAGGCACCATGCCTACATAGTCTCTACCACTTAACCCACACATGTAATGAGCTAAGCGCTTTGCGAACATATGCATAAACTCATCATTAATCATAACTATATCAAGCATACTACTAGAGCAAACTAGGAACATAATAAATAGCAACATATCTTATGAGCGGTTGTGGGTGATTCACCACGCCGGAGTTACAAAGAATCAGCCCATAGAGAGCACTTCATCCTTGCGCGGATCAAGGAAGAGCTACACCATTGCGCGGGTGCTCCAATGAGGACTAGTGGAGAGTGCCGACTCTTCGATACATCGGGAAAACATCGCTGTGCTCCTATTCCTTTTACTTTGTGCAATTTACATTCTCTTCTTTACATTCATAGAATTATCATGCTAGAGTAGGATTGGAACATAGGGTGCAAAACTTTTGTGCGGTAGATCAATAGAATACTTGTAGGCACGAGGGGTAACATTGGGCTAAGTGTAGGACTTTATTATTGCAAGAAATTTAGAATTAACCCAATTCACCTATCTCTTTGGCATCTTGATCCTTTCAACATAGCAAGATCATCGATGGCCAGGCATCATCCAAGAGATAGAACCCGTCGGAAACATCCTCCTATTATTCAAGATCATTTACATTCTCTTCTTTCACCTATCTCTTTGGCATCTTGAGAGCCTTTCAACAGTCCATCGTCTTGGGCAAGTTGACACACTGCCACTCCATCGCTGACCTCCTCCTCCTGACCCCAGGCAGCTCATCCCGTGCCGAGCCCTAGCCATCCTGTCTCGTCCTGCGGGAAACCCTAGCGGGTTGCCTACTGTATGACAAAGCTAGCTGGGGCTGAGCAGGCGGATGAGACGGCAATCGACGAGGAGGCGCAGAAGCGGGCGAGAGCATTCGCCATGGCGGCGGCCATCCATCAGATCTACTAAGGAAGGAAGGAAGAAGATGGGCAGTTTGGTCTTTCGCGTATCCTAAATAGTGAAGAAGGCCGGTCGGAATTACAAAATGAGAAAAATCCTCCAAAATTCCTAAGGGCCGTTTGGGTCCCTTTATTTGGGAGGAATTGAAATCTACCCAATGAAAAGCTATTTGGCTTGTAATTTGTGATTCCCTGACTTTCTAAAGTTCACATATAAATCTATCTCAAATTCATAGGGTGAAAAATAAAAATTTATCACCATACTATATTTCTATTTAGCAACTTATAGCTGGTTCTTCAACTCGCTTCACCTGCTGGCGCCTGGCGATCGGAGAGCGTGTGCGCGATTTTTAAATCGCGGGGCTGAGCTTGCATTTCTAATCGTCTTTCCGGGGGATGTGATGCAAAGGACCCGCCTCGATCTGGGCCGGGCCAGGCCGGGCCGAGGCATATTACGGGGTAGGCTGAGGGAAGCGAGGACGCAGTCCTGCCGCCAATCGTCACCACCACCACATGTGCAGCGTATAAGAGCGGCCGCACACCTCCCGCACAAAAGATTAAAATAGTCCAGAACAAGTGAAACATGATGTGTTGAATAAAGGGTTCAAAAATAAAAGTACTCTGAAACTAAACTAAAAATGCTCTGAAACAAAAAAACTGGAAGCAAAAAGTCTTTTCTCTACCTCTCTAAAGGGAGCAATTTTCATCCCTCTTTTTTAGTCTGTTGGTCAGATTGTTCCGCTGTGTGCTACTCGAGCCGGCTCCCATCGTGCGTTTCTTTTAGGCCCACCTGTTAGTCAGATTGTTCCATTGCGTGTTGCTCGGGCCGGCTCCTATCGTGCGTTTCTTTTCTTGCCTTCCCCGCCGGCTTCCAGGTCCTCCCCGGAGGAGCCACCGCGGCAACAGGGTCCGGTCTGTGGACCCGCGCGGCTGGTGGCGCTGCTGGAATTAGATTTGGAATTGGAGATGAGTTGGAGTTGAAATCTGAATCCAAATTTGAAGCGATTTGGCATGGAGCTCCTGCATCAAATCAGAGTTAATGAGTTCGTCGTGGAGTAGGACTCAATGTCTTCGACTAGGGATGGCAACGGGTGTATACCCGCCGGGTTGCCATCCCATATCCGCGGACCCGCTAGAAATAGTTATGCCCGCTCCAAAACTCACACCCGCAGTTAGGTAGGAACATTCATCCGTACCCGTGCGGGCAAAGGAACCCGACGGGTAACCCGCACCCGACAGCATAACAGCATCACAAAATCCCCATAGCATCTCCCCATACTAGTCATTACAAAATAAGTTGATCTTTCTCATCTAGTGTGAATTGGCAAAATTTTGACAGCATCTCCCCATAGCCTTGTTCATCGAGGGCATGCCAAATTGAATATATATAACATGAGGCAAAGGTGCAAACATTCATTCCATCATCATCCTAGTAGTTTCATAGTGCAAACATTCAACATTTCAAGTAGACAAACAGAATGACATTCATCATTTCAAGTGCCATACAGTGGTTCCATAGTTTGCTGACAATACTTGGTTCATTGTAGCATACAAAAGCATCCGAAACACAAGGAGCCATAGAGTGGCATACAAAAGCAATCAAAAGATATATAGAAGTGCCATACAGGAGCACCAAAAGCTACATGGTTAAAGCAAATTTCTAGTTCTGCTGGTTCATTTGTCACCCCTGGAGCTAGTTCTGATGGCGCAAGTTCTGCAAACTGAGTTGAACACTCTACAAATCATAAAAGAAGGCAGTGAGCAACATCAACAATTTAATTATCAGTTATTTATTTCAGCAGCAGGAACCTTACTTTGTATTCTCTTCCAAAGTTGTTATCTATTTTTCTTGCTATTTCAGCTATGTTGTATGAACTAACATATTCTGAAAAATTAAAACACATTCCAACTAGCTGGGCATCTTCATTAAAGACCGGCGACCCATAGTGTGTAATACTGTGCGCTGAACAGGAATGATCAAAACCAATAGCATCGAGTGACCTGATATAAGACAAAAAAAAGACCTTTAGTATCACAAGAACTATTATAAGTGAAAAGATCAATAGTTTCAAGATTTGAACCTACATGATATTCCCTGGAGTTAACACACGGTATTTGTTCTGGTGGCTATAGGTATAAACTTCTTGAAATTCTTGAAGATCACCCTCAAACAACTCAACCTCCACTAATTCACGCTGTTGATCTGGAGTGAGGTTACTACATAAGAGAATTGCAATGCCTGCTCTACTTGCAAGGACAGTTACATTCTTCACTACACCTTGATCTGGAATGAACACTGCAACCCCTTGACAATTGATATCAATATCATGATCACTAGTTAGAACAACCATGTCACGATCCATAAGAGCCATAACAATGCCATCACGAACAGGAACAAATGAGTTCATAACATTGATTTCAACAACCGTTTTCTTGACTCTCTTGTAACGTTTAACCTAGGAAAAAGAAAAAAAACTGTTAGTAAAAGAACAAGAGGATAATGGAGAGATCGGCAGCACTAAGAAATCAAGTAATAAACAATTATGGAAAAAAATATTGTTGTGGCAAGGGAAAAACCTAAAATAGGGGAGTATTTTTTAGATCAAAGGCTTACAACTTTTTTGAAGCACAAATAACTCTATTTCTTATAGCATATTTCTTATAGCATGATAATCTCAGAAAGCTAAATAGAAGCACTGAACCCTCACTCTAATTTTACTCTCTCTAATACAGGTAATTTTACTTTCAGTCAAGGACCATCAACAACGGTATTCAAAAGGAACATCGCCAGAAACAGTAATCATCCACCAACACCAGGACCGATCGATCATCTAACCAACAGTAATCATCCATCATCACCGGGGCCTATCGATCATCTAACCAATGGGAGCAAGCAAGATCAAACACTCACCGGATCCATCAGTGGCGGACCTAGGATTTGAAACTTGGGTATGCCTGGCCAAAGACTTCAATATACAACAAGACACAATCTGTCAATTCGGAAACACAAATATAAATTTCTCCAAACAATTCGGTATATGAATATAAAATAGCCAAAAGTACAAAAATATATCTAAAATGTCTCCTAATAACATCTTAGAGTTAACAACTAAGAGGGTGCTCGGTAGTCCTGGCAATATATAAGGTTAATTAATAAACTATTGTCATTTGTACCAGTTCGCTTGGCTTATAATCCGTACTTTTTCAGCCACCGAACATTATTTTCCTCTCACGACAAATCAGCCATCAGTGTGCTTTCAGCCCTGGCAAGCTACGTTCTTCTTTATAATACTGAGTACTAACTACTAAGTACTAACCACAGTATCCTTAACAAATCTGAAATCAAAATTTGGAATAACCATCCCTGACCTGTTAGCCGTCGGACGGGGGCGCGGGGAGTCGGGGAGATGGGCAGTCAGCGCCGTTGGTTGCCCAGGTCGACCAGCGGACGACGGCCGGCGCAGCCGCGCTGCACTGGGGGGACTGGAAGGCTCACGGAGGGCGCCGGCGTAGGGCTGGCGGTGGCCTGCTGCACAGCTGTAGGCCTGCAGCGTGCGGGACGCGGGCGGAGGACCGAAGGCCGGAGGGACAAGCGCACGCGCTGACGCGGGAGTGGTAGGCCGGGGCGCCGAAGAGGTGGGCGGCTTCAGTGCCGGGGCACAGGGCTAGGGTTCGGTCGGGCGACGGGAGTCGGGAGCGACGGTGCCGAGCGGCCGAGACGGGAGCGGAGCGGAGCGCAAGAAGGATGTGGCGGCGCGGCCTGGCGGAGGCAAGGATCTGCTCCTAACAAAAAGACTCCCTTCGACCCGCCTGTACAGGTGGGGCCCACCAATTCTAACCCACGCCTCGCTCGCCAATTCTCTCCCGTCCTCTCCCACGCCGCATCATCTCCCCAGCCGCCGCTCCTACCGCCGCGCCGCCTTCCGCCATTGCCGTTTGTCACTCACTCCGGTGGTCGCCGGCCTGCTCACGCGCTGTCAGCTCCTGTCCCCTCCGCGACCGCTTACTCCCTATAGCACCTCCCCGACGGCGGCACGCGATGGTGCATCGGCCCCAGCTTGGGTGGCCTCAGCGACGGGACGGCACACCAGCGCGGGCGGCCCCCGGTACGAGCACCCCCACCCCACCCCACCCCCCGCGGACCCAGCTCGCATCGGGCGGCCTCAATGCCTCACGCGGCGGCGTACCAGCGTGGGAGGCCCCTAGCGAGCAGCCACCGGCACGGCGCGGGCGGGCCGGCGCGACGGCTTGGGCACGAGCAGGCACCGCTTCCGCTCCTCGGCTTGATACGACCGGCGAGGCCACCTCAGAGTCGTATCAAGAGGACAAGGAGACCACCGTGTGCTCCACCAGTACTCTGTCTTCACCTTCGTCGGAGGTCATGCCCATGGCGAGCTCTGCTCTCCTCCAAATTCACAGCACACGGTAAACCCGAGCCAAATCCCTCCTTTCTCTAGCTCCTTTAAATGGTTGCGCACCCCTTTGAATGCTTCTTGATGTGGATCTATGGCAGGTTTGCTCCTTACTTCTCTAGAAGATGAACAGTACAAGCTAATAGAACCTGCACATTTGTACTAATCCACGCAGAAACTTGAGAAAATCGCAGGAAAATAATTATAGATACAAATAATGTGAAATTAATTTTGTTAGATTCATAATTTTATCCTCTACCCGTGGAAAATATGTTTACATATGTTACTCGAGCCAAAATTTCTTTATTTATTATAATATGCAGAACTTGATAAATGGAAGTAGTACTAGGTTGTTGTGTTCTCTCGTGCCATGATACATGGAGGTAGGTGTATGAATCTAGTCACTGTCACGAGGTTAATTGGTTTCACTGCTCGAAATCATGATCGTTGTTCAGTCTTAAAATCAAAGAATGTTTTGCATGATAAATTTCGTGACTAGGGGCTCATGTTGAGTTTCAACTCTAGCCTACCCTAACTTGCTTGGGACTAAAAGGCTTTGTTGTTGTTGTTGCTGTTGTTGTTTTGCATGATAAATTTCAACTGAACTGTCAGCTCCTTTTTATTTATTCAATTATTTATAGCTGAAAGTAGCCCTTGATAGGAAATTTACATCAATGAGTAAACTTTTCATGTCCCATTCATGTCTGCTAGGTTATTCAGAGATATATTGTTGTAAAGTATTTGCAAAAATACTTCTAATAATGCTAATTGAACTTATCAGCCCGGCTTATCAGCCATGGTACAGTGTTTTTCACTCACAACAAAACAGCTTTAGCTGGCTTATCAGCCGCAGAAATCATCAGCTGAACAGGGCCTAAATATTTTTCTAAATATTATTCGTTTGTTCATTTAGTGTGTAGACTGCATGGCCCTTAAATTCATTCTCTAATTACAACATGACTTGCTGCTGGGTTTGATTCAGATGAAGCTTTCTGAGGCAAAATCTGCTGGGAAACAATTTGATGTGAACAATAATATTTCTAATGCACCCAAGAAAAAAGAGCTCAAATCTCTGGGGCTCCTACTGCCAATGAATGACTCTAAGCTTCAAATTTTCCTACAAAGGCTTTGATAATTGGTAATTGGGAGGTTAGTTGCTTGTCTGAACTCGCAGTTCTGATTTTCAGCCAAAATTCAGAGGGTATTTATCAGATCTTGACCTTTGAATTAGAAAATAACCTTATAATGAAAGTTGTAGCTTTTACTATGAAGTATTTATACCAAAGGAGGGCTAGATCTTGTTTAAGTAGCTTGTTCCGTATTGGAGCGTCGAGGGAGCTCAGTCTGACCAGGGAGGAACAAAATCTTGTTCAAGTTGCTTGTTCTGTGTTGGAGCTTTGATGAAATCCCATCAGGAATCTCATGTAGCAAGGAGCGACTAAACATCCAAAATTATGCATGACTTGTTGTGCAAACTTATTCTCCCTTATTAGTAAATTGCTCCATTGGATTGTAAGTGTGTAACTTGTCCATCAATTTCTGCTTCTCAAAGTAGTATTGGATCTTTCATTTTATTTGTTTGTATCTCATCTTGTCTGCCCACTTGTGTACTAGAATGAACTGTTGGGTTTAGCCTAGGAACCATGCAGTTGCAGTAAAGTTTAACATATCATGCTTGCATTTCAAAGAGACAATCAAGCTGAAATTTGTGGCTGTTTTTATATATAGCTTTTCTATATAACTGTATATTGACATGTTCTCAATATTCTTAGACCAAAATAAAAATCTCCGCAATTAAGTTAATGTGATTTCAGGTTGACTGTATCTTATGTGCATTTCTTCTGCCGTGGCAACATGGCACTTCTATGGTATGAACCATTAATATAATCCATGTGCTACCGGTTTCATCAACTGCTCTTTTTGTTGAACTACAATATATATCTGGAAAAAATTGTATTTTACCATGGTGACGCCTTTGAAACATCGATGAACGATAAGGACTGCATTTACTAATGTTTCAGGCAATTTGAAGCATGAGTTCCTTGTACATGTTTGGGTTGGTCTTGCAGTTGCCAAGATTTTGACACATGTAACCTACTTGCGCCTATGCAACTACCAGCCTCTCACACTATGTTTGGTTGATTTCATTTTTTATAGCATCATTTGAATGTAGTATCCAGGGATACATGATTATTTGTCATTACTCTGAACTGCCTATCCGCCATTCTCGGCAAGGGGCACTGTGCTTGAATACATCATAATTGCGTTATGTTAATAGATATTTGCATGAGGAGTTTGTTGCTTTGTACTATGAAAATTTAGCTACTCATTCCTGTGTATCGAACAATATTCGCTAATTCAATGGAAAACTAGCATGATATTTTCTATTTAGTGGATCACCAACAATATATTTTGTTTGTACGGACTTTATTTCACTCCGGCGGCAACACACAGGCAAAGATCTAGTAGAGTATAGAATAAGATCCTCCATCTCTGTAGCCTGTACTTCCGGTTTGTTGGACATGCCAGTGATACGCAAGCATGCACAGATTTGCTCAAACGCTCGTAGGTGTGATTATGGGTTCTCATTGCCTTCTTCCGAGAAGGATTGATCCCGAATCAGTTTTATTAAACACGGGTATAGCTCATAACCAGGTGTTATGATAGACTTTAAGGATTCTAGTTTCTTTAGGCTTGCGCTTGTGGTTTTAGCATATTGATAAATAGGAGTGGAATCTATGCTAAATGAAAAAGTAAAAGAAAGAATAAAAGATAAAAAAGTTAAGTTAGGCTTGTAGTTAATTCAGCAACCGTTTTCCCGGCAACGGCGCCAGAAAGCTTGTTGGTATTTTTAACGCACACATATAAATCCGCAAGCACATGGATACCGCTATAGCTTTCACCCGGAAGTATTCCAAAGCATTCCAAGTATCGTGTCCATAGGGAAACGTGTGAGACTAACTTCGGTCTAACTTAACGAGGGGTAGTGAATAGGTTAAGGGTTAATTTATCTAGGAGTAGAAACAAGGTTAGGATAAACAGGAGCGTAGAGATGATAACTAAGGGTCGCTAGTTCTGACTTGAGTAAGCTTATGTCTTCTACCGTTCAACTAGGAACATTACTTAAGGGAAGACACCAACGAAGGATGCTTTCCTTAGCAACCAGGTCCTACTTAGCCTACAGACAGGAGGTGGACTACAAAGGATTCAACGAGGCTACAAGAGTGTTGACATTTCTTAGCGCAATCACTAGGTAAGGTGGTTTTACGTCCGTAACCAGCAATAGCACCAGAAATGCTTGTTGGCGATTCTTAACGAGGGTACCAAGTGAGAAGGTTTCGAGTCCATCACTGGCAACGACGCCAGAAATACCTGACCGGTATTCCCTCCCACCGTTACTAAGGCTGAGTTAACCTTAATAACACCGTTAAGAAACGTCCGACTGGTATCCTAAATATCCTTACTCAGGAACGTAATTTCCTAGCAAATTGGCGTTAGGCAAGGGTTTTACAATTGAAGGCAATGACACTTAGAGATGCCAGGTTGGCATTCCTAACCGTCACTACTCAGGAGTTGTAGTCCCTCAGCCCTGACACCGATTGGCATGTTGGGAGTTACAATCACTGGATAATGGTACTTAGGAAAGCCAACGTGATAGTCCTACTAATACAGACAAAATCCGCAAGCGCACGAAACTATCATTGCAGCATTTCAACCCAGAAATATTCAGGGTGTCGTATTTATATTTTACCAAAGAGGGCATATTAAACCAAGTTTCTATTTGTGACATGAATATGATTCCATACTTGCATAATAGACTATAGATCATGACAGGGGTAAAAATGGTATAACAGGGATAATGGACACACATCTGAGCTACCTCCAAGGATAAAAAGAGAAACTAAGTAATAAAAGAATAATCCTAAGTAGAGTCGGCAGTCTAATATAGCCATGCATCGAACAGTTGATAATCATACAATCTATATGACTAGAGTTAGAACTATGTTCAGGATGATGGGGAGATCCCTAGGCCTGGTCTACCAAGCCATAGAGACATTTACGAACTCCTGCACGAATACCCGAACGTGGAGGATTACAAGGGATGGACAGGGCTGTCACCACCTCCCGCCTACCCCTCAACCGTGGAGCACCGTCATATTCACAGGTTTCCGTGCACCCGAGCACCATGCCTGTGTACAAAGAAACTACCCATGTCCCCACAAAGACTCTAATCCTACAGATTGATGAGCTAGAACATGGACAAACCCGAAAGAACAACGAACCTTCATCCCAATCCTAGTTCTACTTCTACTCATAGAAATTATATGAACAATGATGAACATGTCAAGATCATAATATATAGACTATAGACTAGTTCATATATCATGGTTATAACATGATCATAATTTTACTCTAGTTCATATGCATAATTATAAAATAGATATGAGAGCATGAACTTGGAAGAACTCTTTATAAGAGATTGCATACCGAGGAGTACTTCTTCCAAGGAGACAAGCT